GGCGACGCGGCGCGTCGCGGTGCTAATTAAGTTCGCACGCGTGCACGCTGAAATTTTGTCTGTGCTCCGTCGGCGTAACGCGCTTACGTTATGCGCGCTGCCGCGCCATGAGAAAACAAACAACCATTTTCAACTCAGCGAATTTGTACGCGGCACACTTCTGTTAAACGTCCCGTATTGCGGGAATGTTCTTCAATCATACAAACGAATATAATATCAAAATCAGAATGGGTCTCAAATAAAATAGAATGAACTAATTAAATTTCAATAAACGTTGCAAATGGTTATACACGATTTTAAATTATTACCGCTATGTTTAAACGACCGAACTAATACAGGATGAAATTGATGGGTACGGTTTGATAAAAATTTAATTATCGTGAAAATCAATCTCTCCGCGGATAGTAGAAATATATCCAATATGATGAATATTCGAAATTTAGTAACTCGATCAATCGCTTCTATGTATAACCAATGACAATTATTCGAATTAATACGTAATATTAAGCGATATATTGTCATACCTTGTTGGAACTCTGTCCCATATCGAGTTCTCGATTATAACGCTTCTCGCCGTAGATCCAATCTTGCACGACTTTCTGTATGTCTTGCTTCTCCGGATCCACTAATCGGAAGGCAGTGATATTGGTCCCGCCGTGCTTGAATTCCTCCAGATCGACGCTGTGTAGGTCCTGCAAGGAATTCGGTTCACTTTATGAATTTCTTGAACCGATTGCTGACTTTTTGCATGCTGCTCGACCAAGAATTTTATTGCCTCCCCGCGATAAACGTTTAATATCACCGTCCACACTAGACGTTTGCCAGGAATTCTGAGATTTATAGAAGCTTCTATATCTGCGGATGGGAAAAATTGTCATATTTCCGATACTTGGAATTATTGTCGTTCCAGATCGAAGATACATATATGTGGCCGAATAATTTCTATAATCTTAATGTGGCGAGAAGAAACTTCATTAATGCTTGAAAAATAAAAATAAAGGAAATTTTATTTCCTGGTTGTGAAAAGTTGTATCCTTTGGAAGATATATTACATATTCAGTACAAACGACGAACGTAACTGTAAAATCGTAAGATTTATTAATGTGAAGGATAGATACATCTAATTTGAGATATCTTTGAATACATAAGAACCTTTAGCTTCATTAAGAGCTGTACTACGTCAATTTAGGATTTCTTCCCACTTCCTTCGGAAGAAACAGCGTTTTACTCCATGTCAGGTTAATTTTTGTAAATGTTGGTTGCTATTTTTGCAAGAGATAGTGAGACAGATAGACACATGGAAGCAAAATATCAATTGGCAAATACCTTTCGTTAAGATTTAATTTTCGTCAAGATTTAAGTATTTCAAAGTTCTTAAAACTCCCATTTAATATCATTATACACATATTATCCATAAATGGCTAAACACCCGTGTATTCATAAATCAATAACATTCTGCTTAGAGAGAGAGAGAAAGAGAGAGAGAGAGTCGAAAGAATCACCCTTTCATGATCGCCGTGTCATCGTTCGATTCAATTCTCTCTCTCGCATAACTCAATCCGTAATCACGTGTCCTACTACGCTTCCTAGGATAGATATTACTTGGCCGGACACGCGACGCCTATCAACAGAAATAGAGATATCTCGAGTGCGGAATGGAGCGAGCAGCTTCTTCACCGAGCTATCTACATCGTAGTGGCAGCCAGCGTGATTTAAAGTCGGCCGGCCTCAAAGCACAACTCCGAGCCGCGTCCACCTTTTCGAATGCTCAAGCAGCCAGCCACGACCATTTATTATCCTTTGTCCTGTGTCCTGGCCGGGATAGATAAGTTTGCCGGTTCCCGATCCGCTGTCCCCTACAATCGAACGATCGACTAGCCTCGCGATACACCAGGCACCATGGTCGATCGATTCGAACCGGTGATCGATCATCGCCTCGCCTCGGGACGTTCGTTCATTCTTTACGTCGTGATATTGCTTCCAGCGACACACACAGGCCTTCCTTTCTCGCTTCGGATCGATAAAATTACACGAATTTCAATAGTTTCGTATCTGAATAGGGTCCGAGGTGCCGAAAGAAAATCGCTGGGAGCTGTTGCTAACTTTTATTCAGGTTGTTCGAACATTGTTTATAATTTAGATTTGCTAATTTGCCAATTATCTCTCCTGATATAAAGGGAATTTGCATGATGTTGGTTGGTTGTTGTTTATGGTGTCGCTAATGGTGGGCTTAAGTTCGTATGTAGTTATAAATGCAACTCATTATCAATTCACCAGTATAGAAATTTTGTTTTAGAATGTAATTACCGTTCATAACGAGTACCAATCAGTTGATCAGATTACTGAAATCTTAAATTTTGCTACAGCAAAATCAGAGGAATGTTCTTTACTACCGAGCAATAATCCTTAACAATGACACATGATCTCCAGTAGACGTATATGATAAATCTTCCTCCATAACACCCGGGTTAACACTCTCATATTCAACGACATAATCTCCCATAGTGCCACAAATTACTTCACCAACTAAATGTAACTAATCATTTCGAGTCAACCAAATGCAGCAAATAATTTTATCATCTTCTCGAACGTTGATCTTAAGGATCGAAGACAATAAGAAACACGCATTAACGAGTCAATGAAATGCTTGTCGCCAAATTAAGCTCGCTCCATGAAACATTGATTCAGGAAGACACGAAGTTATGGCCGTTCGCGTAGACGTGGTCTCGCATTTCGAGGCCACAAATTTCGACATGACCCCCGAATTCTACGACGCCGACGTATTATCGCATCTCGCTGGTCATTACGGTTATTATGCCTGTTACGGTTATGATGATTGTTATCGTGGTTATAGTACCCGCTGCCATTAAGCTTCTTATTACTAGCGTTTAGTAGACGTAGCACCGCGCTACCAGTTCTGACTCCTTATTACCATCGAGTTATTTAGCCGCGGTCGCATCATCGCGTCTCCCATTTATATTCCACATTTCCCTCAAATTCCACTCATTTCAATTACGTGATGCAAATCGTTCGCCATTATCGATTTTAATATCATCGATTGTTGGAGAATACGAGGCTAATAGATTGATATTGCCAGACCAATCGGTCTTCAATTGTGATGAACAGCATCAATTTTTGGAAAATTTACTCTCAACAGCCTGATACTGGTAGGTCGATCGGTCGTTATTATCAATTAATAGCATCGATTTTTGAAAGATATGAGGCTAATAGATTGATATTTGTAGGCCAACCGGTTGCCAATTTTGATTCATCGCGTCGATTTTCAAAAGATATATGTTTAATAGATTGATATTTCTACGTCGTTCGTTCGCCATTATCGATAAATAACGCCCGTTTTTGGAAGATTAACGGTTAATAGATTGGTAGGTCGGTCGGTTGCCATTAACGGTCGCGTTTGTTCAATTTCAGAGGAACGCTGCTTCCACGTTATTTCTCCTTTTCGTTGTCGGTATATTGCATCGGTGATCATTAGACCGATGTAATAGAATCGCTATGATTTTATCGGTAATATACGCGCGTTGAATACAGCTGGCATCAAAGCGCAATTACAGTTCGTTGCATGAAACTTATTTACGCCAGGTATTTCGTTTATTAATTCATTACACCTCAGGCAACATCATTTTACCGTTCGTCGAGCACTCTACCCAACCAATACTGCCGTATTTTCTTGCTTTCGCCTTGTTCCTTGCGAATAATGCGAGTTATCCCAGAGAAAGATGCGGTCAGCCTTTTGTTCTACAGTGGCTTGCGAATATATTTGAATATTTACCATAGAAGATTTTTACGATTTTTTATATCATGTGTGTTTGGAATATTTTGGAATTTCATTACTACCATAATGAGTAAACTTATACCAATCTGAAAATGTATACAGACGGTATAAAATATTTACTGCAAAACGTACATTTAGTAAAAAATTAATATATAGCTCCAATGACGATCTTAAGAATATCATAAATCTTACAGATAGTCCCACTGAATATTCAAGCTTATTAACGTAATGAATGATTGACTGCTTAAATACATTTGTAATTGTAAACTTTTGTACGAAACGTATAAGCTTAGGCCATAAATGCCCTATAGCTTCTACATATATGTATATTTAGATTTATCTCTTTTTTTTTTACGAAGGAGTTTATTGAGTCCAGAAATACAGTTTTTAAGTGCATTATTCACAATAAACATGAATTTTTATAATGGTATGTTAGGCAAAGGTATCGATACGCGGCGGTACGACGTAGCCATGCTGTATTATGTGTCGGCGCTTTACAGTTTTTGTTGTATGATGCGGTCTTTAGATTTATTTCAAATCTTATCAATATGATCATGATATTCTTATCACACTGCCAATAAAATTCCAAAGTATTTTATACATATAACGTACATAATATACTCGTATTCATAAAAGGTGTCTGCAAATCTTCGAATATTTTCATGAAGACATTTCTATGTAGGTACGTATTAAGTGCAAACTGTTAAAGCAAAAATAACGCTATTCTGGGACTAGGTACATATATTTTGTTATAATTTAATTTATGAGCACTTTCGTAAGGAAGGAAGAGTTAAATCATCGCTAAGTATTTACGCATATTTTTCATACCAGGAATAAATTGTGCTTTGACCGGTCTTCCATAATTAACAGACCCGTTATTCCGAACGGAAAGTGGTAATTTCGAGGAAAAATGACCCCGTCGATACGAGTGCTCGTTATTCATCGAATTATGACCATTTTAACATACTGGTTGACAGATAATGAACAGCTGATTTCGCGTAATTGTTCATTAATCAGTAGGTCGAATGTACATAAATTTCAACGGAGTACCCGTCGACGCGCTTCCAATTTCAGTAGATCATTGTAAAATATAGATCGTCATGATCTAATGAAAACAGTACTTAATTTGATCACCGCGAACGATACTTGAAATAACTGTTTGGATAATTTATAGAACCTCTTCTCTTGTTTCGACCGATTAAAACCCTTTTTCTATATCTCCTACACGTATGAACTATTCGCTGTGAATAATAAAGTTTATATTACATATGCTAGTTAAGAACATTTAGGTATTTATTTAGAACATTAAATGCGCGACCAAAGAAAGAAAGTCTAATATGATGCAGAAGCGCAAAATAAAAATAATTATATTTATATTAAATGCTTGAAATTATAGTACAAATGAAAAGTTCACGGGAATACAAAATTTAGATAGACGTGAAATAGATAGGAAAATAAGAAAAAGAAAATGTATCAATGTGTATAGAAGTAGAAGAATAGAAAGATTCATATTTATAAACTGAGACTTTAAAAGTTTTATAAAAATTTATAGTAATATAATAAGTAATAAAATATTTATTTATTATTAAAGGATCACAAATCCTTTGTATGCGTTCACGAAATATTTTTACCGTTGAAAATCTACCTCGTATTTTCTTCTATATTTATATAATTATAATATATATCAGTATGAAGATTTTAAAAAATTCCAAAAACTATAACTAAAAGTAATCTTATGAAATAAAGCATTATTCGTTTACTTATAGTAACAAATTTTACTAGGATAATATGAAATCCTAATATCCCATTACAACATTAATAAGCTCATTTTGAAACAGCAAAATCATATTTATTTTGCCGAAGGAAATGGACATTTCATATCACATGATATGCAAAATC